GATGCTTCTAGACTCTGGGTTATGATCGCAGCCAGGTTGCAGACAGATGTACCAGGTGGTACTGAGAACTTCCAGGGGTGAGGTGAGTGTCCCATTAGGCATGAGCAGGCAGCCTATCAGAGAGAATAGTGACTTTCCAGACTTCCATTATTGTGCTCAAGCTCAATATTAATGACCTTTCAGGACGATTGATATCATTGCAATTTCATCTTCCACAAAGAAAGAAAACCACTCCACGAATCAGCTTCAGGAGGAGACTGAACAGCTGTTTCTGAAAAGGAAGCTGAATGACAGTGTCAGAGAACACAAGCTAGTGTGGACCTGATGTGCATGGATCAGACAGAACTCTTACTACCTCGGAGTTAAATTTAATTGTTTTCTTTTTCTAGTACTTTTTATTTTCCTGGAAATAGCAATGCCCAAAGGGCATTCTTAAGATTTCCTCCACCCCAAATGAAAAATAAATCTCTAGACAGCACATTCTTTACATTGGGCCAGAAAGTAAAGAAGATGGTCCAAAATGTGACACACAGCACTCTGGTTCTTCCCAGAGCCAAATGCTTTTGATGCAGCAGCCTGTCAGTGAGAAGTGTCTCACTAGGCACTCGTGGGGTGGAGATCGCTGTGTGTCTGTAGGATGTCCAGCTTTGGGCTAATGCCGCTCTAGAGAGCTTTATGGTTTAGATCCTAAGTCAGCGAACATCTTCCATAAAAGCTCAGGCAGTAGTATTTTAGACATTGAAGGACAAATTATTTGTAATACAACTTTTAAACAGCCATTGTAATACAAAAGTGGCTGGGGAGACATAAATGTGTATTGATGCTGTCCAAAAATCTTTATTTGTGGACACTAAAATTTGAATTCTATCTAATTTTCACATGCCAAAAATATTATTATTGCTATTTTAATTTTAAAAATCAATTAAAAATATAAATGCTATTAGGTAGATTTTGGCCCAAGCACTCATCTAGGATAAAATAAAGGGAATGTAGTTGCCTAAAGATGTACAAAATATCAATTTGGTAAATCAGCAAAGATGTAAGGGATCTCTTCTAGCTGAAAACGCCATGGAGGAGATGACAATTGAGCTATTTAGAGCGTGGGATGGGAGTTGACAGGCTGGAGAACTACACCGAGGCACTCTTGAGAAAAGGGGAGCATTTTCTAGTTCTCCAGGACAGTCAGTACAAGCTCAGACTGTTCCCTGCCAATTAGCACTTCTAAGAGTCATGAGCAGAGATCTCCGAGAGTGTATCAATGAATTTAAAAAAAAAATACAAGCTGATTTTAAATGCACACTGAGAAGGAACAGTAAGAGATAAAGCTGGAAAGACAGAGTTGGCAAGAAGTAGGACTGGACTTCAAGGTTCTTGAACGTATAGCTAAGACATTTGGGATTTAAGTAGGTGTTGGAGAAGCATCGCAATTCTTGAACAATAAAATGATGTCTTCCCATGTCAGGGGTATCTGATGTGCTGAATGACTTGGATCAGGAGAAATTCTTTGCAGGAGCCCAATTAAGAAACCACAACAGACTCTGCAAAGATGATAGGAGAACCTGCGCTGAGTCCAGGCAACACAAATGAAAGGAAGAAGGAGGTGGATGAAAGACATCAGAGAGGAGGAGCCTGAGAACTTGTCAAGTCGATAGAAAAGATGTAGTAAGAAACAGGAAAATCAAACATTTTAAGTCCTGGTGACTACAGCTGTCCTCTTTGTGGGTTAGAGATAAGATGAAAAGAAAAATCTATAAATGTATGTATAATTGGGATCTACTCTTATTATATTTGGAAAATAGATACAAAGTTGCAGCGGCACTTCTGTTATTTAGCTTTTCGAAATCCTTCTCTACCAGAACATCTTAATATGAATAAAGTTTTGGGTGGCTCTCTGATAAATGTGAGTGTGAACAGTTTGCTTTGCAAAAGTGAGATTTTTGACTCAGAGGAAAGGTGAGGGAGACAGATGCACTTATTTCTCTATAATCATTCTTTCTGTCTTCTCTCTGGGACCTGGTGGGATGTAGCCCATTTTAAGATCAGTACAATGGTTTTAATGCTTGCTGTGAGAGTCAAATGAACCCACCTGAGGAGAAGGTACAGCCCCCAACTAGAATCTGATTCAGAGGGACATTCAGCCATAGCTTGTCTCGCTGTTACTTCAATAGCTGTCTTGAAAGGCTTTCTAAAAATTATCCAAATGAAATCCATGTTTTTTAAAAAACTAATTTCCTATTGAATATTTGGGATTATAACAGATGTCCTGAAAGAAAGGAATAATAATGAGGTGGCTACTTATAAAAGAAAATGAATTGAATTTCTGGTATAGTTATTGACTGGCAAAATGGCACACAAGCTCTATTTTGTCTTTTGTTCAGATATATTTTTCTAGCATCTTTCTATGCACTCATTTTGTTTTTGTTTTTGTTTTCTGGAGAGAACATATCTGAAGACAGGGAAACAAGTAAATAAATGGAAACAATTGCAGATAAGTGTAGCTTATAATTGTAATTACCTGAAAACACACACACACACACACACACACACCTGATTTTGAAAGAAAATTTCTAAATTTAAAAAGAATTGAGTCACTTCCAGTACAAATTTACAAATACTAGTGTTCCTATTAGTTGAGACTTTTGAATGCTCTTTGCCTCATTTTCAGTTTGTTCAGCATCATTCTATTTTGAATATGATAAAATTAAGCAGCCTGGCCATGGGGACCACAGTCCATTATTTTTTAAAGCAGGGCACCAGAAAAACAAAACAAAGCAGACTTGAAGATGATATGCACCCTGGCTGCTGAAGAAAATCCCCAGACACTTGAGGAGCAGGTGATTAAGAAATGCTAAGTACTGTGGGGGAGAGACTGTGTGGTCATCAATTTGTCCTCAGTGCTTTCGGGTGAGAGAAATCATAGCATTAAACTCCATTTGGAACCAAAACTCAAATGGATGCCTGTTCATCAGTGCCAGAAGTAAAGGACTGTGGATTTTACTTTCCATAAAAGTTCCACTTGGCTCCTGTTTTTTTCTTTGTGCTCCATCCTTTGAAATGGGTTAGTTTCTTTCATTCATCTTTTTAGTATGCTCACCTCTTCCTGTGCTCCCTATATAACACTATACATACATAATGTTACTATTGCATGTACCATTGGAACATTTTAATATTCCAATGTACATATGTATGCATATGTACTGCAGTATATATGTCTTATGTAGAACACAAACACATAGATATTAGCACATAACATTATAGATATACAACAGCTGCATGAAGACCAGCCACATTCTTCTCTCTCTCTCTCTCTCTTCCAGGGAGTTGTGTTATACACAAGGGATTTCTAATTAAAGCACATGGTATTCTAGATGTCCTTCTTTGTCTTCTTGCCTGCAGGCAAGAAGAAGGCATTAGGTGCCTGGCTACTTAACAACTGCATGGGAAGATGGGCCCAGTGTTGACTTTGGTTGTGTCAGGATGTGTATGAAACAAATCCTCTTCCCACCTCTAAAAATGGGTTTTGCTTTTATTGCCTGTTAATCAAAAAAAGCTAGGTGCCTGTCTTCTACTCTTTTTATTATTTTTTCATTCTGAAATATAAATGAAAAATGTTAAATTCCTAGGTTAAAATTGGATATAGTATAGTTCATTTCTGAATTGGTCATAAAGGTTTTTACCAATGAAAGATCTGTAACTTATAAAAAGTTACCTGGACCCATGTAATTATTTTAATATATACATGGCTATTTTGAGTCTTTACAGAAAATTGTCATCATACTGATTTAACTACTAAATGAAATCAATAGATATTGGAGACCTAGATATTCACCTACTTCTGTAATGACTTCTCATGTTCCTTAAGTCAACTCTCCGTACTAACCTTAGGAACATAAAGATGTTCTTAGGAAGCTCACAGCGCTATGAGAGTGGTATCAAAGAAGTTATAGCAGGCTTTATCAATGTAAGGTGTGCAGTGTCTGCTAGTGTATAGTTGCCATCTATTCCTACCGCTAAGCTCCTACCACTATTTAAGAAGCTTTGATTTCACCTTGCCTGTGCTGAGCGTAAAGCACATCCATATGCCCTCATGATCAAGAACATTCTATGGAGATTCTGATACACAACTTTCTAATCCTGCCAATGGGCTGATCTTTTTTCTTTACTAATGGATTCATCATTATGTTTCAAGCAGAGAATGACACTATCATTGCTCACTTTAAGACACAGCTTCAACCTTCCAGACTGTGAAACCTCCTGTCTCTGCTGGGTCCTGGTGTGGCCGTGACCTTTAGCAAATCACTGAGCGAATGTGAGCCAGATTTTCTCTAAACCAAATTTGACAATATGTAGCTTGTGGGGTACCTGCACAAATTACAGTTTGTGGGAGAATTTTGTTTTTCATGCTTTTTATACACCATTGTTAGAAATAGTTATAATTCTACCTTCCATAGAAGAGTGATATAATTAATCCTTTAATAATCATACCATGAAAATATGTATTGAGAAAGCAAATGGAGAAAAAAAAGGATGAAAAATAGCTTTATAGTATGTGTTGGGAAGGCATGGAAAGGAAAATCAAATAGCTTAAACTACATTTTAATTTTTTAAAAAAATACCTACTTAGGGCCGGGGATTTAGCTCAGCAGTTTGGTGGCCTGCTTTGCAAGCTCAAGGACCCAAGTTCAATCCCCGGTACCAAAAAAAATCAAACAAACAAAAAAACCTACTTGATGTTGATGCACTCTCTAGAGATATTTTTTAAATACAGAAGCTAGAGAGAATTCTGAGAGAGCTTCTTGAAACATGGAATTATAACCTTGCTATTGCTAATAAAGTCTTGCATTGCAAAACTACATCTGATATACCTTTCAGAATCACTGGGTATAAAATAGTGTATCACTGTCATCTTTTTCTCCTTTCCTGTATTTTTGTGCGACAAATAATTCGTAGACAAATTATTTGGGACCCCTTTTAATCCTCTATTCTTTTTTTGTCTTTAGGAGTTGTACAGATGTTGTGTGCTGCATGATCTTCATAGTGTTTATTATGGGCTACATTCTTTTAGGACTTGTGGGTGAGTAAATACAGGTATAGACAATACTTAACATTTGTTAATGGAACACTAAGTCAATGTCACATTTGAAACATTAATTATTTTTTTCCTCAAGGCTTTTTATTATTACTTGTTATCTTTTCTGGTAGGAATACCCCTTATCAGGACTCACTGGGTAAAAAACACAATAAAAATAAACACAAAAGTTTAGTCAACTGCAAGGCAGAGTTACTTAAGGAAATGCAATTATAAAGAAGGAGGAAAAAGGCTTATGGTTTCTTTTTAGCAGTTTGTATCTTTTAAATTAAGCATCAAATATTAGCTTTATTATTAAGCATCAAATATTAGTTTTGCTATTTACTAAAAAGAAGTAGGGCTGAGTTTAATTTAATCTATCCAGTTCCAGCATGTTTTTTTAATAAGCGAGTTAAATGGAAGTAACACTTATTATTAAGAATTTTATCAGATAATTCATTAACATACAAGTGCTCTGTTTTCCTTGCCCATGAGAAAATAATACCATTATAGTAAGAGTAAAGATTTTTCTTTCTAGAAAAACAAAAGAGGGAAAATATAAAGATGTTTTATTTGGATTTCTTAAGAACTTCAAAAGAAAGTAGAGCAAATATTTTATGGCAAAGATTTCACAATTTTACTAAGTATATTGCACATTTTTCCCAGAGACAAAAGCACTATCCTTTAGGTGTTAACTCAGGAAACTTTAATGTGCTATTATTAGGCTGAAGGCTGTTGGAGTCAGATATTAGCTCCTACTACCAATAATTAATGGTACAGAGTTAGAATGCACAGAATGTATTAGCAGAAAGTTGTGTCTTATCTAGGCAAAAATGGAAATTTCTTTTCCCTGGCCTTCAGTTTTATCTTCAAATGAGCGAAGTACTTTAAGAAGAGAAATTAAAAATAATTTCCAAAATATAACCTCTGCATTAACAAAACTACACGGATTTGGAGAATTTTTAAAAATAAGACAGGTGAATAAGAAGGGGAAGAAGAATAAAAGAGCATTAGATACAAAACTAAATATTGTACTCTTCTAAGTCTTTGAAAACATTTCCTGTTTTTTCTTAAATATTATAATTTCTAAACATGAATGTAGATAAAATACACAAGCTGTAAGCTGAATATTATTCATAATAAAATGAATTTCCTTACACAACAAGTAGAATTTTACTTTCTCTAACTTTGGGAAATGCCTTTCTTGTCTTTGTAATTTTTATCATTATTACTTTTTGTCAGAATTGAAATTTGTTGCATAAAAGTCAGGAGATTTAGAATCAGGCAGATCTGGAGTTTTTTTCATATTCTTTGGAGAAGGGGCCTACGCAGTTATCTGACCTGTTTTCCCATGTGAAAGGTATAGAAATAAGTGCCTTCCAGAGCTCTTGTAAGGAATAAATGGACTAATACCTAGTTCCACAAATAATGCTATATAATAGTACTGGAGAATAATTTATTTTCTACCATTGTATAAGTAATCTAGATGTTCTGAATTTTAATACATTTTTTAAAATACAATTTACCACGTTGTTTCTATTACAACCTATAATTTTAGTCATTAAATTTCAAATGCACATAGGAGTTTCACAAAGATCTCATCCTGTGACTAAAATCTTTCCACTGAAAGGCCTTGCTCCATAATCAGTAATCCTCTCTGCCCTAGCTCAGTGCCAGTCTCATATGATCCACAGAAGAATGTCTCTTTTCCTTATAATGAGTTATAAAATCCCTGCCTCTGTCCTGAAGACACAATGGAGGCGTGCCTGCCACCATTCCCTCTGGAATAAGACAAGAAATTTGCTCTTTTTGTTCCAGATCTTCAGATTCAGTCTGTAATTGCCTTAATTCACATAAATAATTGCAGGATAACTTCCCCTCCATGAAAAATTATGTTTCATATTAGATTAATTCAGAGATTGCCCACTTATCTTAATGCCATTACTTAAAACAAATGACTCAAAAAATTCACTAAATGTATATATATATTTTTTTCTTTTAAATTGAATTTATTGGTACATTCTAGGTAGACAGTACAGTTATATTCATTACTGGGATCTTGTACCTTTACATGCCAGGTCTTGGTTCTCATTTTTTCCCCTTGTCCCCACCCTCCCCAACTTCAAAAACTTTAATCCCATTTTTACATTTTCTCATATTTTTTTTCCTTTTCCTTTGTTCCCCTTTCACTGTCCTTCTCACTGTCCCTACACCTTTGGTCCTTTTCTTCCTATTTCATGTTGCTAATTGTCCCATTAGGATCTTGAGTACTATTTTAGTTTTTCACACCAGAGAAACTATTCTGTATTTGCATATGTGTGACTCATTTATTTCACTTAGGAGTATATCCTCAAAATTTACCCATTTACCTATGAATGAATCTACTTTCTCATTCTTTATGGCTGAGTAGTATTCCATTTTATAGAAAAACCACATCTTCTTTATCCAGTTTCCAACTGATGGGCAGATGGGCTGTTTCCAAGTTTTAGCTATTACAAACTCTGCCGCTGTAAACATGGGTGCGCATATATCACTGTGGTATGACTCTTTTAATTCTTTTGGAAAGATACCCAACAGAGGGATGGCTGGGTCAAATGGAACCTCTAATCCTAGTTTTTTGAGGTATCTCCATATTGATTTCCATAGTGGTTTCACCAGTCTGCACTCCCACCAATAATGGAGAAGGTTTCCTTTCTCCCCACAACCGTGCCAACATTTGTTATTGATTGATTTCTTGATAGCAGCTACTCTTTGTGGGGTGAGGTGAAATCTCAGTGTTGTTTGCCTCTGCATCTCTCAAATGACCAGTGATGTGGAGCACTTTTTCATATATTTACTTGCTGCTTTTATTTCTTTGTCTGTGAAATGTCTGTTCATTTCAGATGCCCATTTTAGAATTGGGTCTTTATATTTGGGGGGCTGGTTGTTTTGTGTTCTTTGTATATTCTAGATAATAGTCCTTTGTCTGAGGAGCAGCTGGTATAAATTTTTTCCCACATTGTAGGTTGTCTCTTAGTTCTGTTGCAGTGCAGAAGCTTTTTAATGAGATCCCATTGTTGATTCTTTCTGCTAGTTCCTGTGCTACTGAAGATTTGTTCATAAAGTCTTTTCCTATGCCAGTGTCTTCCAGAGTTCTGCCTAACTTATCTTCCAGGAAGTTTAGTGTTTCTGTTTTAATATTTAGATCTTAAATCCACTTGGATTTTAATTTAGTGTGTGGTGACAGATAAGGGTCTAATTTTAATCTTTTGCAGGTTGAGATCCAGTTTTTCCAACACCATTTACTAAAGAGGCAATCTTTCCTCCACTGGGGATGGTCAGCTCCTTTGTCAAAGATGAGGTAGCTGAGTGCATCTGGAGTTGTTTTTGTGTCTTCCAATCTGTTCCACTGATCCCCAGGTCTCTTTCTTTCCCAGTAGCATGCTGTTTTTATCGCAGTGGCTTTGTAGTATAGTTTCAAATTGGGAATTGTTATACTTGCTGCTGTGTGCCTATTGCCTAGGATGGCTTTTGCTATTCTAGGTCTCTTATGGTTCCAAATGAATTTTTGAATTCTTCTTTCTAGTTCTGTGAAGTATAGTGTTGGGATTTCAATTGGCATTGCATTGAATCTTTACAGCAGTTTTGGTAGTATGGCCATTTTCACTATGTTGATTCTTCCTACCCAGGAGCAGGGGACATCTTTCCATTTTCTTATATCCTCCTCGATCTCTTTTTTCAGAGTGCTGCAGTTTTCAGTGTAGAGGTCTTTTGCTTCTTTTGTTAGACTGATTCCCAGATACTTCATTTTTTGGGGTGCTATTATAAAAGGAATTGTTTCCCTAATTTCTTTTTCAGTGAGTCTGTTATTTGTGTACAAGAAGGCTGTTGATTTTTGGGTGTTAACATTGTATCCAGCTACTCTGCTAAAAGTGTCAATTAAGTCTAGACGTCTTTTGGTGGAGTTTTTGGTCTTCAGTGTAGAGTATCATATCATTAGCAAATAATGACAGTTTAATTTCTTCCTTTCCTATCTTTATTGCTTTAATTTCTTTCTCTTGTCTAATTGCTATGGCTAATGTTTCCAGAACTATATCAAAGGGGAGTGGTGAAAATGGGCCTCCTTGTCTTGTTCCTGATTTTAACGTGAAGGTTTTCAGTTTTGGGCCATTTAATATGATGTTGGCTGTTGGTTTTTCATAGATAGCCTTTATTAAGTTGAGACATAGACCATCTATTCCAATTTTTTGCAGAGTTTTTATCATGAATGGTTGTTGAATTTTGTCAAATGCTTTTTCTGCATCTATCGAGAGGATCATGTGGTTCTTGTCCTTGACTTTTTCAATATAGTGTATTATATTTATTGATTTACATATGTTGAACCATCCTTGCGTCCCGGGAATAAATCCGACTTGGTCGGGATGTATGATCTTCTTGATGATCCTCTGTATTCTCTTTGCTAGTATCTTATTGAGGATTTTTGCATCTATATTCATTAAGGAGATTGGCCTGTATTCTCTTTTTTAGTTACATCTTTCCCAGGTTTGGGAATCAAAGTGATATTTGCTTCCAGGAATGAATTTGGAAGTATTACTTCTCTTTCAATTTCATTGAAACGTCTGAAGAGTAATGGCAGTAGATCTCCTCTAAATGTCTTGTAAAATTCAGCAGTGAATCCATCGGGACCTGGGCTTTTCTTTGTGGGTAAGTTTTTAATTACATTTTCAATTTCACTGATTGTGATCGGGGTGTTTAAAATGTTTTTTTCTTCTTCATTAAACTTTGGTAATTCATAAGTATTTAGAAATCTGTCCATTTCTTCTGTGTTTTCCATTTTATTAGAGTATAGGTTTTCATAGTATGTATTAATGATCCTCTGGATTTCTGTGGAATCTGTTGTGACTTCACCTTTTTCATTCATGATTGCATGAATCTGAGCCTTTTCTTTCCTTTTTTTGATAAGGTTTGCTAAGGGTTTATCAATTTTATTTATTCTTTCAAAAGACCAACTCTTTGATTCATTTATT